GGCACCAGTATTTTTACTTTTTTTTATTTTTATAGCCTCCGTTCAAAATAAACCTTGAGAAAAGTTTATCATCTGCATTTAAAGCTATTTAAAATATTTCTACAAGCTCTTGCCTGATTAAAGGCCTTGCTTGTCTCACTGTGGGATGGGCCTCCCTCATATTCCTCAAAAGGATTTATCTCATTAAGTCAGTCTTGATTGGCTGGTAATGGCAGTGACCGTGTCAGGCAGAACCACCCACCCTCAAGTAGCTTGCGCCACTATGCAGTCAATATTCAACACACCTGAAAGATAGGCTAGCTAGGCCCTCATTCCAAGACATCTGTGCGTACACTGTAGCCCAAACAGTACCACTGTAGGTCTTCACTTCTATAAGGGGGCTACTTGCTGATTGCTGGTGCTTGCTTGAGATGAGCTTGTCTGGCAATACAAAAGGTCTCCATATCCAAGAGTGAGACATCAAAATCAATGTTAGGAATGAAAACTTTGGGTTATTTATGTAACCTCTGTTCTCACAGTAGCGTAAGTGAGATGTTTCACCAAATAATCCTTCTTGCTGGCTGAAGTGAGAAGAGGTGCTGCATCCCATAGCAAAATGTCTCACTCATGCAACTCTGAGAACCGGGGTTACACAAGTAAACTAAAGTTAGTTTCTCTATAAAAGCTTTGCTGTTTTCTCTTTATCCTGAAGTCACTCCCTCTTCATTATCTATTGTTCTAATTGTCTTCTCCTTACCACTAATGATCAAAACTTTTTTTCTTTGACTCTAGTGGTTTTAAGTCGACAGCAGCGAAAGGTCCAGCTCATGCGGATTCGACAGAGAGAAGAGAGGCTGAAAAAGGAGAAGGAAAACAAGAAGAAGAAAAAGAGACAGAGCCAGAAAACAGGGCACAAGCAGAAGACTCATTCCCATCACAACCACCAGCAGTACCACCACCCAACAGCATCTCACCCTCATCACCAAACTCAGAGCTCTCAGCCTCCTAAAGTCCCTCCTCCTCCTCCTCAGACTGAGCCTGGCTACCACCGCAAAGCCAACTCCAAAAGGCGTTTTGATGGAGATGTGCTGTCTCCGGTAAGCTATAATACTGTATCTATTCTTAACAAGGTAATTAGATGAAAATCTGAACATCCTCAGTCCAGGTTATTAAAATGTTTGTGTTCTTCGGATTCTCTGAAATTAGATTTTAGATAAAATTCTACATTCAAGTCACAGTTTGAGTAGAATGACATCAGTGTTCCACTCTGCACAGTTAAGTGACAAGTTCAGGACAAATAAGTGTAGGGAAATCAGAAACTGTTATATTTATATACAAATGCACTGCACAGCAAAATCTTTATTCTCTCTGTGCTAAACTCTTGCCAGAGGGCAAGTCAGACAGTTTGACAGCCATTTTTGCTGATATCTCCAGGAATTTATTTAGCTGTACTTCTGTTAAGCGTGCACACAGTTCCTTCGGTGATCATGCCAAAGTAACGAAGAAAGCCTTGCAAATTAAAAAAAAATATATATGTATACTTAACTAATTTTTTTGCTACAATAATAATAAACTGGGACAATAGAAAGTAGACACACAACTACACCAATCATGCTGTTGTGAAACTCAGCTAAACATGTGCCACTCAACACGACTGGCTTATGTTCTTCCCAACTCCCAATTTCAGAACTCTCCCACACATTTCTGTTTAAGATTCAGTAAGTGTCCTCTCCCTATAATGTCTGGCTAAACTAAGTGTCTGCAGGCTTCAGGTTCATATTTAATGTTAAGATAAGGGGTAATGATCCTCTTCAATGGGACTTCAGAAGAAAACTGAACAGGGATAAAAGTGTCACATGTCAGACTTTTCATTGAAGAATAATTGTACATGAGTGTAAGCTTTTGTGTCTTGCTGCATTTACATATGCCATATACCCACCGCAGCCCTTTATTTCCTGTCTGTCCACAGAGTTACATCAGGAGTTTCAGGGACAGACAGACAGACAGACGGGCGTACTCCCACAGTAGAATGATGAGCCGGTCTCGAATGGCTGAACTTGACTATGACTGCGGCTCTCAGGTGCCCCTTACAGCACCCAGTGGACCCCCAGTTCGCATTTGAGGCAGTTAATTGCACACATCCACACACACACACACATGTGCACCATCACAGGCTACTTCAAGACTCACTGATAAGGATAAGAAACCTAACCTAACCTAACCGTGCCAACCCAATCAACTGCCTATTAAGCCAACAGGAGCTCAAAGTGCTCCAGAGGTGGTGTGACCCACACTGCTTTTCTCCTGTCAGACCCAGTGAAGTATTTATTTGGTCGGTTTTTTCCTTTTAATGTCTAAAAACAGTGATTTTCTTTGTCGAAAGTGTGAGAATTATGAGTCATCATATGTTATATTTGGCTTCTCTGTAATTGTACTTACATGGAAAACACTGGAAACAAGTGAAACTCTCTTATGCACAGTTAATTAAACTGTCTCTGTTGAACATTTGATACGAAGATTTATACTGGTTGGTTCAAGCCATACAAAGTCATTTTTAGTGGGGAAGAAAAAATCACTCCACAGGAGCCCCACATCATGTTAGAAAAAAATTGCATCACTTGACTTTCATCAAGTTAAAATAAAAGAACACTTTACTCCAAAGGTAATTAAAGGATTAAACATTTTGACTTAAGGAAGCATCTGCTGTGAAAAATGACTGAAAAGCAACATAAAAAAAATCACAGCAAACACTGAAACTCAAAGGGAGCTCTTCTCATTTAAAAGGTCATTCATGAAGTCTGCATTTTATCTTCACTGACAGCTTGTAAATTCAAACGTGGCAGCACAAGGCCTGTACTGCTTCAACATGCAGAAAGAGACAAGTTTAGGTGTGAATTGGATTAAACGGTTTACACCAAAGACAATGTTTGTGTTATTTCTGTTGTCAATTAAGTGTCATTCCCTGCGCTGTTGTGATTTTCAAGGAGACTGTTTTTACATCTCAACACTTTCCTTGTATCCTCTATTCTATTGTCAGCCATTCCAACTACAGACCTGAACAGGATACTCATCTGTCTGCTCCTCTTTCCTCTCTCCATTAAACATTTCTGTAAGCGATGTGATTTTATTTATTAACAGTGCTCTTGTGTCCCTTTTTGCTCTTTTCTACAAAGCTTCTGTTAAAGACAAATAGCTGCTGCCCGATATTAATCATTCTGGAATTTGATTGATGTAATGAAGTCTGAGAATAATAGGCAACAGTAAAAATGTTAAAAAAAATAGTGTATTTGTGTGTGTGTGTGTGTGTGTGAGTGGACACATGAGCCCTGTGGCAATTGATGGAACATACCAAATACTGGCCAAGGAGAGGGGGGGTTTGTTGGAATGGATGCGCAGCATGCTGTGCATACATTAAATTCTCTCTTCTTTACCAGTTGGTGAAAAATGGTATGAATGTAAAATGTTTGAGTGAAATGTTAAGTGATTAAAAAAAAAGAGGCAGCATCTTTTTTTTGAGATAAGAGAATGTGAAGATAAATGCATCTGCAAGTGGCGCCCTCTGATGTTTACTTCTGGACCTTTTTTTTCTGGCCTTTCTATGTATGTGTGTGTGCATACGGTTCATGTGTACATGCATTTGTGTGTTACTCACTTTGAAATTGAAATGAGTTCCTTACATTAATATTGTTATACTAAACACTGAGACAGGAGAAGGACTCTGAATGCGAGATGTTTAAGTACAGAAGGACAAAGTTGTTTTGTTTTTATTTTTTGTTTTTTTTTCTTTTTTTTAATTAAAGCTCTCTGGAAACAAAACATTGTAGTTCATGAACACTATTGCTAGCAATGTTGCAATTCCTACCTAGGTTGAATATTACTATAAAAAGCCCCAAATGGAAGACTTGGTAGTATGAAAGGAAAAAAAAGTTATTAAAATTCTGCCTCAATATTGTTTTTTTAAACTATTGTTTTATTATAGATTCTTATTTCTGAGGTTTAGGAAAACAAAACAATCTCACTGCACATAAATTATAAAATAAAACTTGAGGTATGTAAGTTAGTGCCTGGATTCAGCAAAATTTACAGTACTTTTAGGCCCGAGGACCAGGGATTTTTATCAAAAGCCCGTTACTGCATGTTGATCATTGTGTATATGTTTCGATTGTGCTGTTGTCATGTCACAGCTCTGACATTTACACTTTAGTTTTCTGGTCCTGGGCCGATGTAAGTAAAAATAAAAACTCTCTTTCTATCTCCAGTTCTCTTCTGTCTGTAAAGGGCTTTGAAAGGCATTTGAAGCATTTTCCTCTTTTTCACATGCATTATGCCTGTTACATCAGCTTCTGACCTGCTGTTTACTGTTATTAAATGTTGTTTCACGGTTGTGGCAGTACACGTGTTATTTTTGGTTTTCTGCCTATACTTCACTCCTGCTTTGATCTGCTTTTGTGTTTTTATTGTAGTGTAATTCTAAACTAAACATTGCCCCTCCTCTTGCTTGTAATTTGGGGACGAAAATGAATAATTCTTTCACTGAACTCTTCTTTTATGTTGTTGTTTTTCTTATTCCTAATTTTTTTTTTTTTCATTGCCTATTATATAACATTTCTGTTGAGAAAACCTTTGATTGTAGATATTGACTTGTAAATAATTTTTAAGTGTACAAATGTTTGGCTCCATTTTCATGTTTGCACCACAGTCATGTATGTAATTTATGCAGGCTATTACTTCCTGGAGTAGACCTGTTATATTGTGATTCTGCTGTATGTCCAGTTTGCTTTGATTTGGCTGAGCGGTGGATACACTTCTCATTCAGGTGTTTCAGTGTTTCATGTTCAAATTTAGCAAAGAAAATGGACTCTGATTCGTCCTTTTCGTATCATCCAATTTAAATATGTAAAAATCACCTGATTATTATTATTATTATTATTATTATTATTATTATTATGTTATTAAGCATGGATTTCTATGGACCTAACATATGATAAACATTGTGATTCTATAATTCAGTGGTCTTGTTATCTTTACATTGTCATTTGTGTGTGCACAAGTGTTGGAGCACAAATATCAAATACTTTTTAGTTCAATCTCTCTCTCTGACACTCCCACAAATACATGCGTTACATAAGTTTAGTTTAGAATTAGTCCCATAGAATAAATCGACAGATATTTACCTGTTTCAGAACTGGTGCTTGTACACAGATATCAGTAGGTGATGATTCTGTTACATATTTTTTTCATATTTATTGATGATGCAGTGATGTGCAAAAGCCTTGAGCCACCCACTAACCCACCACTCACTATTATATGTTGCTAGGAAAATGGGTCAGAAAACAGAGTTTGTGCAATTCTAATGAGCTTGAAAGTCCACATTTGATTACTTTTATTCTTCAGCTCAGCCTGACCTGTCTTAGTCAAGCTTTTTTGTCATATTTTGAAATAGTCTTCAAGATTATTTCCCCAGATTTCTGCTTTGGCCTTTGCTGTATTTGGTTTTTGTGTAATTTGCAACACCTCACCCTTCTTTCCCTTTTCCTCTTTCTAAAGAATAGCTTCTTGACAAGGACGTGACTTTCAGACACTGTTTATCTGCTGTAGATTGTTACGACCTGACACTTCTTTTGTCCTTTTTTTTTGAGGACACACTCCACATCATGCTGAGATATGCATTTAAAGAATCACCTTGCTGGTGTAAAAATACTGTATTATGCCTGTTAAACTGTGTTATCTTCAGTTTCTTCTTTCATATATTCATTCATTTAAACATATACTTTGTTATTCAAAAATAACAAAGTATATGTTTTTTGCAACAGGCTACAAGTAACAAAGTAGCCACAACAATGGTTCATCCTTTCAGTTAAATTCCTTTTTTTAAAATATTTGCATAATTCATTGGTCAATGTTATTTGGCTTAACAAACATACAAACAAAACAAAAAAGCTGCATTGCTCTGATAACGGTCGTGTACAGGAACTGCCCTGAAGATGAGTGCAAAAAGCCAAAACTTTGCAAGACCTTCAAAAAGACATTTTTAAGGTCTTTGAAAGAAATTGCGAGAAAGTCTTGCTCCTTGGAAGCAAAATGTGAAGATGAGCAGGATGGCTCAAGTCTTTTAGAGAGGACAAAGTGTGCAAAGTAAAAAGAAAAAGTATTTCTTAAACACCCAAATATCAGCTTCAAAATAACATTTTTACTCTGCAGGTTTTGGCTGTGATAAAGAGCTGCTTAAGAATCATTAACATAAATGATGAGGGGAAAAAAACAAGCATCTGGATTTCCAGTCAGTTGCATTCTTATCTGCACTGACAGTATAGGTGTCAGGCTACATTAGCAGTGTAGCTTCATTACAAACTGCAGCAGTTATGTAACGACAAATACAACTGCAAAACTAATCAAGAAATAAGAAGTGCAGCAATGCTTGAAGCTTTTTCCTTCCTAGTAAAAAAGAGGAGAGTTCACAGAAGTGAGGAAACTTTATTTTGAGGGAAAAGAACACAGGAGCAGTTTGCCCTTTCTGTTGATTCAGTGATGAAAGCACACCGTCATGGCTCCACTAATTACTGGAGTAGCAGTCACATACTTGCTTCTTTATGTTATTCAGCGTAATTATATCTTTCTAGATCTTCCCCCGTGTCTCTGTCTCAGAATAACCTTTTCATTACATTTCTCTCATCCTCTGTTTTTCATTTCTTCCCGTCTTGCTCTTTCTTGCAGGCTCATTTATTGTTTCTGTGTTTCCTTTTTCTCTCCTCCACCCTAACAATTTTTTCTTTTTATCTCTGATGACATTTTCAGTCCAGTGGCTTTAGAAACAAACTGCACAGACTGTAATTCTTGTTGCTCTCTTAATCTGCTTTCTGCTGGAGACCAAGAATGACAAAGGGCCGCTCGTTAATGTGCCCTTGTTTCGTTTTCCCTGCACCAAGATCAGACTGGTTACTGATAAATTCAAGAAAGCCACAACTCGTGTTTTGTGTATAGAAGAAAATTAAATGTTGATAGAAGAGTGTTACGCTTGGCTGGGGGAGCTAGTATCTTTTGGAAAGCTAAAACGGGCCACATCAGTTGATGCATGCAGTAGGAAGAGAAAGTTCATAAAGATTTGGATGAAAATGCACGCATGCTGTCTGAGGAATGCTAATGCCTAGAGATATGAGTTACAGAATTTGAATAAACTTTCTGCCCAGCAAGTGAAATCTTTTATTTGAGTTTTTGTCAGAGCGAAGGAGGATACCATGGTTACTCATACACATACCATCAGACACGTAGCACATGCTGGAGAGCTCAAAGGTCAAAACACAACTGAGCTCCCTTTTCAAACCAACATCTCACTTTCCTTGAATCCGTTACAGAGATAGCCTATCTTAATCAATCGATGTGCATACACATGTAAAAATCCTGAAATACACACAGTGAAATTTATCTGCCATTGATTCTTACAGCGGATGATGGGATAATTCGGCAGTACGAGCTGTATTCATTTGAAACATTACTCTTACCACTAAAATATTTTTGCAGACAAGATAGATGCAAGATACTTTTGTTTGCAGCGAAAAGTAACACAAATAAAGAAAAACATCCTGGAATGCCCTTCATTTAAAACAAGGCTGAAGGCATTGTGCCTCTACACTGCGTCTTTCCTGTGACGCTTAAAGTAATTTATGTATGGATGTACAGTGGTTAAATTTCACTTCCATGACTGGTTACATAAAATGGTCAGCATTTTGTATCTAAAAGTAGGCACAGCTTATTAATCATTGTAATTCTAATAGGAAAAGATTTCATTATTGGTGACGTTGTTTCTTCTTGTTTACATGATGTCTTGCTGGTGCTGTGTCGACTCACTGACAACCTGTGAAAGGAAAAAAAGGGGACACTGTAAATTGATACAAAAGGGAAAGAGTCTATTTTCGCTATGCACAGTGTCTGCATAAACGGTGTGAGAAAACACCCCATCTGCCGTGCTAGTCTGACAATAAAGTTCTACTTAAGCTTAACATTCAGTGCAGGTGTTATGCTTAAGGTGAAGGACTGTGCTGGGACCAACTGGAGCGCTGACAGTGAAGGTGCTTGCTCAGGGAAGCCGGTACTGTAACTTTCATGAAAGTGTCTGTACCCAGATTGATTCAAACTACAAGATTTCAGGGATAACAAAGAGAATAGAAACTAAAACAGAGCTTTGCTACTATGCTGCCACACTTGTATGTGTAGACAGTTATGAAAATGTAGTGGCTGTGATTGACAAATGCAAGAAGGAAATTATTCTTATTAAATCTGGTAGCTTGTTTCAACCCGCTGATGTGAGCAGACAATCAAAAGGCAGGTGTGATACTGAAACCAGACTTACACATGAGGCATTAGCACTTTGGCTCATAGAATATTTAATCTGGATGAGAATATAGTAAATCAGAATGGTTTGGTTGAAAAAAAATACAAGTTATAGTTTACTAGCGCTTTTGTAGTTTATTAGGATACCTCAACATGGACATTTTTGTGCATAAAAGTGTATATTTGTGTGTATGCGTGTACGTGTGAGCTCAAACCTCTCCATCGCGGGTCTCAATGGTCTTGATGACAACAGTCTTCTTGGAGTGAACCTCTGATGAGCGCTGATGCTGGGACTCAGGACTGGTCTCTGTAGGAACAAATTCACACATGCGGCTCTTTCATAAACTGCTTTAATTCTTTCTGCAGCTACACTGAGATAATTTAGTCACTGATATTAGTTAAGCATTGCACTTAGAAGTTTAATGAGCTTTCACATGGCTGTAACATTAATGGAACATCCACACAACATCCTTGTGTTAACTTTAAGCTGGGCTCAGATGGGAGGTACTAACAGAGACTAATTGCACCTTCTTACTGTTAATCTATTACATGAAGAGGGTAAGTCATATGATTATTAATGAAGGTTAATTCTTGCCTCCCTGAACCACAGAGGCATGAAGGTTTTAGTCATATATCCCCACACAGTGGTCAGAATGTGTCACTGCAAAGACACTATATGTAATGCCCTTAAAATACCAGCTACCATATACAGTCACAGCCTATAATTAGACCTTTTATCATCCCCCCTTATTGACTCATGCCCAATAGATTTTAACTGTATTTATTCGTGACAGGAACAAAGGGTGCAACTTCTCATACCTCTGAATCCAATGGAAGAATAAGCAGACTGGACAGGTATGGTGGTAGTGATTCTACAGAAAGAGGAGCATAACAAATCAGTAATGAGTATGACATAAATGCAAAACCACAAAAAATTAAGGTAGTTTTAGAACAGAAACACACCTGCTCTCCTCTCCTTCCAGCAGCTTGCGGTAGGTGGCAATTTCAATATCAAGGGCCATCTTCACATTGAGGAGGTCCTGGTACTCCCTCAGGTGGCGGGCCATATCATCCTTGAAATCAGTGTGTAAGAAGTGCTTAAAATATAGTTCTTACCAAACACAAAATCCTGCTACATCTATTACCCAGTGTAAAATGCAAAAGATCAACATGACATATCTAAGCGTATTACTTTCATCTTAGCAATATCTTCCTCGAGCCGTGCAATGGTATCTTGGTAACCAGTAGCCTCGCGGGCCATGCGATCCTCCATGTCTCTCATCTGGCGCAGCAGAGACTCATTCTGCAAAGAAACAGAGACATGAAGTCCTTGAAAAGAAGGGATAAGAAGCATGAAAGAGAGTAAACGCACCTAACAGAAACAGAAGTTTAAGGCTGTTTATGGCTGAAAATATGGTTATCAAGGAAATGTAAAGATGATATCAATCAGAAAGAAGAAATGTAAAATAAGAAGCAAAACAATAAAGTGAGAAAAGGTGCTACAAATACTCACAGTGCCCTTCAGTGAGTCAATCTCGCAAGTGTAGGACTGGATCTGGTGTCTGAATTCCATGGTTTCCTGCTTGGCCTGACGCAGTGCATCATTGTTCTTGTTCACGGCCTGGTTCAGATCAGACACCTGAAGACAGAGGACAGGAGGATTAACAGTACAACAGCTAAGAACCACTATCTGCATTTTACGTGTGCATGCCTCCACTCTACCTTAGACTTGTACCATTCTTCAGCCTCTGCAATGTTTTTGGCAGCAATGGCTTCGTACTGCATGCGGATGTCCCTCAGAGCAGCAGTGAGGTCGGGCTTAGACATATCCATCTGGATCTGCACCTGAGTGTCCTGAATCTGGCTCTGCAGCTCACGGATTTCCTGCAAGGAGTCCAGAAAAAGTCAAAATCCGCTCGTGTCAAAACATGTGAGTAGCTACCGGGACATTAAAACGATACCTGCTACTTCAGTTGACAAGTTAAAAATAATTCAACATGCAATAACACGTCAGATCAGAATATTTACATATCGAAATCTAATATGTCAAATTACAAATTCACCCAGCTGTTGACTGATGCATTCTGTTAGCAACAGGCTTTTTTTTTTTTTTTAATTAGCCAGCCTGGATTGCACTCAGTTGCTGTCTGATCTAACTGAAAGTTATGAATAGCTTTGCATCTGTTCACAGGCACACCCTCTTTTTCTCTGTCACACAACAGCTGACATAGTCTTTTGACCAATCAGCACTTTGGCATTTCTGGCAGGTCAAAGTTCAAGCAAAGAAGACAAAATGAAAAGAAGGGACTTCAGCTGTGCAGACATGTGTCTGAGTGTGTGGCTCAGAATATCATTTGATATCTGTAAGTGAATAAGGTTAGATCTTTCTGTTGCCCTGTAATAGTTAAATAATTGTTAAATTTTCCTACAGACATGAATCTACGTAGATGGGAACGCTATCTGTGCTTTAACATCAGTAGTTCTCTTTAGGTGGGTTTAAGTATGATATCTTTGATCTCATGAAGAGCTGCATGCCTGTGGAGACTCAGATCTAATATCACAGCACAGTATAGTAACACACACAGGTGTTATATGATACACTATACACCATCCTAGTGACACACATAATAGATATAGAGAGGATGGGTAGTTTTTACTGCTCTCTTATTTCCCAAGTGGTTGCTACAGCGAATGGATCGGATTTTATGCCAGATGCCATTCCAGACGCAACCCTCCCACCGCCTAATTGTGTGAAGCCAACCAACCAAAGCTGGTAAATCAGCAAACCTCTTCATGAATCTTCTTGAGGAAGGCAATCTCTTCTTGCAGACTCTCAATACGTCTCTCCAGGTCCAGCCTAGCGAGAGTGGCACTGTCCACATCCTAGATAAGAGGAGAGAATGGCAAAAAAGAAAATGACCAATAACCAGCACATTTAAAAAAAATGTTAAAATAAGAAGAAAATTAAAGGAGAAAAATGACTGATCAACCAAAGGAGACAAAGTTTCTCTGTTTTGGACTGAAGAGAAAATGACTGAGCTATAGATGAGTGATTTAAGGAAATAGAAGACTTACAGATCTGAAAGCAGACAGGTTGTTCTCAGCTTCTTCCTTCTGGTGAATCTCTTCTTGCAGTCTGCCAGAATGACAGCAACATACAAAAAGGAAAAGAGCAAAAAAGAAAGCGGAAAGTTGAAACAAAATGAAGACAAACTGTTTTCCCCCCCAGAGATCACTTACTAGACAGATAAACTAGTTACCACCTCTCAGTCCTCCAGCCTTTCTGCTCTCTCTCAGTAAATTCATAAGAATAGAACCGGCATAGACAATGAAACATCAAAGTTCAAGCTTTTATTTGTATCCATGTCCACACACACGCACACTTCTGCACTTGCTCTTTGAGTCCTAAAGCTCTGTTGCAGCTGTCACACTGTCAGAATCAGAAGGGTAACAGTGTGAGAGCAACACAGGCCTGTCCCGGTGCAGTTTCCAGAATTAGCATTTCGCCGTGCACTTTGAACAACTGGAAAATGCAGAAAAAAATGCCGTCATGCACCTCACACATAATCACTACCGACACAAATAAACACAGCAGATGCTATTGGCATTTTTTTGCAGTTTTGAATCATGTCATCGTCCATGGAAACGTTCAGTGAGAATGTTCAATGAGAATGTCAGCGTGCATGCGTTGCAACTGTTTGCATGTGATATTAGAAGGAGCAGCTGGTGCTTTAACAAGTTTCACTGAACGCTTCAGGCAACCATTTAAGCAGGCGTGATACACAGAGAGTGAAGAGTCAGAGTGCTGTGTGTGTTTGAGCCTGTCTTTTGATATACATTTTATTTAAGTGATGCTGCATGCAGCATCTTGCAGTGACAGAATTTCACAGAGATGATTTAGTCGCTCCAAATAGATTATTCAGCGATACACCCACACTGCAGCTCCCCGTGCTTTTCTCTCTCTCTCATGCTCACGTTCTGTCACATATGCAGCGCACATAGAAGAAATGTGTATTTGGTGGACTGGCTTTTGAAATTTTTTCACTTTTTTAGATTTATTCTTCTTTAAACTCGCCAAACAAACAGGTCGTGTGTATACACTTATTTTTATCTGTCTACTTCTCTCATGTCTGACTGCTTTCTGTCGAGCTGAAACTTAATCTGTCTGCCTGTGAGTCTCAACTCTATTCCTATGAACCTGCAGATCTCCCTCTCTCTCAATTTTCTTCTGCTGTGTCTCTTGTGAATAAATTATAAAACACCTTTGTAAAAAGCCATTGGACCGTAACAATTACTGAAGCATTCCTATTCTCAAATCTCTCCTTTGTTACTTTGTTGTTTTCATTTTTCCCAAAAGAGGAGAGACACTCTTTAGAAATCAATGAGTTGTACTTGATGCCACTTGTTTGTTTTATTTTTAACACACTGGATAAAATGTTTAAAAGTCTCCCCCCCCCCTTCTGCTTTCCCGTCTTCCGATTTTCTCCTTCTGTTCCATCTGATAGAGGTTTGGTGTGTTGTCAGAATGTGAGATAGCACCTTCCAGATGGTGGGGGGTGAGGTCACAAATATTTATTGTATCACATGATTTTTTTTTTTTATAAATGTAACAGAATGAGCTTTTCTTTAAGTAAAAAGGCTCATATCCCCCATCTTTCAGTTAATTCAAACTATTCCATTTGTGTTTGGCTTTAGACTTAACATGAGACTCCTGTGTACTCCTACATGTGAGTGCATGTGTTTCCAGTAGCTCACTTTTATTAAAGCCATATTACATGAGTCAGTTTTTTATATATATATTTTTCCTTACTCATCATTTGTTCATGAAGATGTTTATCTACATATTGGCTCAGGCCCATCAATCCAAGCTTACCTGAGCTTAAGTTTCTGCAGGTCATCAGCCAGGTTGTCTCTCTCCACCTCCACTCTGGAACGCTGGTTGGTGAGGGCCTCTATCTGCCTCCTCAGCTCCCTCATTTCCTCCTCATACAGCTCAGCCACACGCCCAGGCCCCTCGCGGCCCCTGAGCTTCTCGATCTCCACTGTCAGCGCGGCATTCTGCTGCTCCAGGAAACGCACCTTCTCAATGTAGCTAGCAAAGCGGTCATTGAGGTGCTGAAGCTCGGCCTTCTCATTGGTCCTTGTGTTGAGGAAGTCTTGGTTCATGGCGTCTGCAAGGTTGAAGTCGAGCTTCTCCCCGGCATAGGTGCGCATGGCCGTGGAGGAGCCGAGCCCGGCCCCAGAAGACAACTTGAAGCTAGAATAAGAGGGAATGCCGGTGCTCTTGACTTCGTAGACTCTGCTAGACATACGGCTGGAAGCGGAGCTGTGGGCTCCTCCTAGAGAGGAAGAGAACATCGATGACAGTGGTGTTGACCCAACACCAGAGCCAAAGGTGCGACGATACGAGGAAGCACTCTGGGCTGAGGAGCTGTAGGACTTGCTCATGGCTGGTTGAGTTGTTGGTTGAGTTGTGGATTTGATGGAACCGCTTGAGGTGCTGAGACCCAACTGTCCCACTGGGCAACTGGGAAGAAAACTAAGTGAAGAAATGCCAGCCACTGAGTGCAACTATTTGTAGCTCTACCACCCCCACACCCACTCATAAACCCAACCCCTCCTCTTGATGTCTCTGTTCACCCCGTCTGCACTCCCACTACTCCACCCCGCCACTGTATCACAACCCCTTTTTTCATTGATTACTTTTGGTGTTTTAAATCAGTCTGGAAGATTCCTTCATTGGTTAAGATGCATGCGTCTGCATGCAATTCTTCAAATTTTACCCAACAAGTCTTTTTTTTAAATATTTTTCATAACTGCCTCATTAGTAGTGGCTTTTTAAACCCCAGATTTAAGGGCATGAGGTGAAAATTAATTAGCTCTGGTAACCAGTGTTAATCAATGTGAAAATGTATCATAATTGTAATTATGATTTGAGTTTTTTATTTTGGCTGTTCTAGCTTTATTTTCTCTGCGTAGTTCATTGTAGTTCACTAAAAATGACTTTTTCAGGTTTTTAGGAAATTGCTCAGAGGACATTTTTGTTCAGTTCATTGTCATCTCTTGAGATGTTATCTGTTGGACTAAAAGCCTTTCTTTCATATTTCTTCATGCTCTTCAGCGATGCATTTTTGTCCAGCCTTCTTTTTCTTGTCTTTCAGCCTCTCCCTACCCCCCTCGTTGCACCTTTTGCCAGCCCTTGATTCAGCTGTTGAAGGGATCTGGTTTCACGATGGCCTTCTGCATGTATGTCTGTTTGACGATGGATGATCAAATGAATGGATGTAAAAATCAGTCAGACAGTCCCTTCACTTTTGTGCAGTAAGTCTAATATGGGAAGTTTTGATAGAAATGATCAGGAGCTGTTAGAAACACTGCATCAAATTATGGTTATATTTTGTATGAAGCTTCACTTAGTGGAAATTGTCAAACTTAATTCAGTTTAGGCTAAAGAAACTGGCTCAGAAAAGCACATAACCAAAATTAACATGAATGATTGTTCTAAAATATGGCCAACATCATGTTAAAATTACCATTTTGTGTTATAAGTATAAGGAAAGAATGTGTTCTGCTCTGTCCTAATGTAGCACATCAGAATTTATTACATGCATTGTTTAAATTAGTATGAAGCTATAGAGTTACAATAGAGTTATGTAGCCTTGGTTATATAGGAAATATGACTGACTACTGCCAGGAAGGTCACACGCTCAGCTTTGTCATCAGAGCTCTCTACCCGACTCGCACACACCCAGAGTAGATGGATACATCTGTGTGTATCAGTCGAGCGCTATCTTGTTACATGCATCCTGAATATTTAAAATAATTAATGCCAATACAAGTTGCAACTTTGTGTAATTCCATATATGAGTGTTTTATATTTGTCAAATTTCTCAGCTCAGAAAAAAAGAAAGAATGAAAAAAAATCCATCCCAAAAGTTTTACCCATTACAACACAGTTCTGACATAATACACAATCACAATGCTGTCATTGCAAGCATATTGAAAATTCTTTGTTAGATTTCAGTGTAGATTGTGTTTCTGAATATTATGAAAATGTAAATATTAATGTAAATATTATTTTGCCACAAGTAGAAAATGTAAGGAAAGTCCAGCATTTTCTGAAATACATATAAAATCCAGCGTTGTTGAAGGCTGGAGCCTATAGGATGAGGAAATTAATGTAATGCTCTCACTGGCTGCAGCTGAAAGCATACTAACACTTGAGGAATCTCTGCCCTCTCATGTGTCATAGCTGTGTAATGATGATAAAATGGATGATAATGACTAACTCTGGTTCTGTAGGATGCTAAATATTCCTCTGAGTGCAATGTACCAGATAAAAAAGCAATGCTTACAACAGAACAAAGGCATAAAGTACAAATATCTGAGCTGTTTTGCAAAATTTAAAACCCTGTCTGTAGCATTTCAGTTCTGAATCAAAGAGGAAACATGCCACTAATGTACGTGGGAGTTGTGGCTGTTGGAGGAGTTGTGTGTGGTCGTGCACATATTTGCGTTTCACAGAGCAGTCTGCATGTCAGCTGCAAATGGTGTCAACTCTATTTTTAGATTTCTCGTTTGAACTCTGTTGTGTGGCCACTGGACTGGAGATAGAGCTTGACTACTTTTACTGCCATGCTGTGAGATTATTGTAGCTGCTAATCAAAGTCAGATAGAAAATGTAAATAGGCCTGACCTAAATTGGCTCACTACACAAACTGTCTGGTGCCACGTCATCATTACCAGATAAGAGTGATTCAAGAGAGATCTCTTGCAACATCAACAACAAAAAACAACAGTTTTATATTTGTCTTTTTAGTTTTCACTATCTTTGAATGTCTAAAGGCTTCTTGCATTCCTTTAAAGTAAACAAGAAACATCAAAAACCTGAAGAATTTATGAAAAGCATTTCTCTGTGGGAGCTCAAGAATTTTTCAAATTAAAATTCTTTAAATATTCCTGTCACATTTCATGAGCTATAACATAGTAATAAGGGGGGTCACTATTACTTCAGTAAAGGTCAGACAGCTTGGATGGTGAATAATTAAGCCCCATCTTATCTTAATGACCTTCAAGTACTGTATCACATTATTAGAGCACTTTCCTCTCAGACTGCTGGTTTACCTGTGGTTTCTAGAGTATTTAAAAGTAGAACGGAGGCAAAGTCTTCAGTTTTCAGGCCCCTCTTGGTGGAGCCAGCTCCCAGTTTGGATTCAGAATACAGAAACCTCTCTGCTTTTAAGATTAGGCTTAAAACCTTCCATTTTGATAAAGCATGTAGGATCATATGAATCCCATAATGCACTAAGGATTTTTTTTCTTTGCTCATCTTTTCATCAGTTGTTATTATTCTCTGGCTCTCTTCTACATTGTGTCTTTGCCCTGTCTTCTTCCCTTCACTCGAACCAGTCACAGCAGATGGCCATTCCTACCTGAGCCTGGTTCTGTTGGAGGCTTCTTCCTGTTAAGAGGGAGTTTTTCCTTCCCACTGTGGCTAAAGTGCTTGGTGAAAGGGGGTCATATGATTGTTGGGGTTTTCTCTGTTTTCTTTATATTATTGTAGGGTCTCATCTTACAATATAAAGTGCCCTGGGGGAACTAAATAGGGAAATACAATTATTAAAATTCATATTTTTTATTAGTATCAGTCTGTCAGTCTAAAGTCAGTCACTAAAATATCCAATCATTATTATTTACAAAAATAACATATTTTTGAGTTTTTAGTCTTCATATGTAATGAATCATAACAGGTGATCTGACTTTTCTGAGGTTGATATTATATGAATCTATATGAATCATATGAATGAAGCGCTTAATTTAGTTTAATTCTTTGGCTTACAAATTATTATTTGTCAAACAAATGTGATTTCCTTTACTCTCCACTGCCAGCTTCTTTAGTGGTGATTAGCACATTTTAGCATGCTGACATGACAAAAAATAAAAACAATCGTGATCATGATCAAAATTAGCAACGAGCTACCTGTTAAATATCACCATGTGGGCAATGTTCTCATTGTGAGGATGCTAGCATGCTCACAATGTTACATGGGAGTATTTAATCAAAGTGCAGCTCAGTCCACAAACACTGGGATTCAAGGACTTGCTAGGCTCCCTTCCAGGGCCATTTGATTGTTCCATCGCCAAAATCCCATCAAGTCTGGGTAAGATCCCTGTCTAGAATTCGACCAAAAAGTATATTACATTCTAATGATACCATTACTGAACATGAATCCTGTGGTCTATGTCAATTTCCCATCCAGTTGCAAACATCTATCAGACAAGGGAGCCCTTTCACCCCAAGAAATAATGTGGGGACACCAGCAGAGATGATGGGAAAAATCAGATATGTGCTCGATGTGACTTGACTGTGGTATCTGCTGTCGTGGCAGGAGCAGTCATCCAGGTGTTTTCCCGTTAAAGAACACATCATTAGCTCAGGACAGAAAATGAGCTACCTACAAGTTGCCTAACAACCCCAGATTCATAACTAATACACCATGACCCATAGCCTAGAAAAGACACCCTTAAATTAGAACCAGATCCCAGAACGGCTGGGAAAAGCATTATAATACAGACACATGCACGCACCAAGTCTCAGAATATCAACAGTGCATAGCAGCCAAACCCTTTACTCAGGGCATGTCACAATTCTATTTTGGAAGTAGGATGCAACACTGCAGTATAAAAATATCAGCAGTAATTTCCCCACACACACCCCATACAATACAGCTTTATGCCTGTGTTCAACTCTTAGTTGGGAAATACCCAGACACTTTAGATATTTGGATTCTAATCCTTACACAGCACCCCCATGGAGGGCCTGGCTGACCCCAAATGTATCTTGGTTTGCATGACAACGACCCCAAACAGCCAGAGTAATAAAGAACAAGCCTATCTTCAGCAACAAGAAGGCTAAAGTGTCCTTCAAACGATCATATGCTCTCCCATATGTCACCTTCCTCCTATAGGACAGCACTGATCTCAACCTCAGAAGCAGAAGGATCCGTGACGATCTATATCCAAGGCAGAACTGTGGCAAATTCTCAGACCCTGTGGAATGCTAGGGCAGTCAAAAGCCATGCAACGTGGGTGACATGATGGGAAAATGGAACGATGTGAATACTGTTTGGGGATTGTTTTTTAAAGACTGAAACTAGAGAACATATAGACGATCTGTAAGCTTTTGTGGGAGTCCTGGAGAATCATTACATAGCCCCTGCTTTATGGATACATTGTACGTGAAGGTGAATACACTTACAGTTTGGAAAATGAAAGAAAAAACAACAAAAATTAGAAATGAAATATGATATAACTAGCATCTATAGGTGATTAGGGGTCAGGTGGTTTCATCATTCATGAACGCAGAATGCTTGTTGCCCTGCAACCACCCAAACATGCATACACACATGCCAAAGAGCTGAGCTCTAGCACAAAAGTGACGCTGGGACTAAAAGGATCCGAGTAAAGGCGAGGGGAGGAAAGAGACGTTCATGTGTATTTCTGTGCGTGCAGTATGTGTGCTTGCACATTAGTGATTACATACAAATGTGTAACAACTTTACAGACCTCTTTTACAAGAGAACCTGTTCCAGATTTTTTGGGGAGAGAGATATGATATCAAATGCCAGCAGAAGCACAATGTTCCTGAAATAGAGAGCAGCAGGCTCCACATCAAACCATCAAATCACGAGTCACGCTAGATAGAAAGGCTCCTTCCTATTTTATGAGACCCCAGTACAGCAGACAGTCAGCTGCTAAAATGAAGAGAAATTGATGCTATGCATTTAAAAGTGTAATGCAAATTTCATGACACAAATTTCACATATTATATGTTACCGACCAAACTATTGCAAAAACACAAAACTGTGTTTTTAATTAAATTTTAGTATGTTTCAGAATAGTGGCTTTTAAATTACTGCTGCTTACTTCATACAGCAGCAATTACCACTGTTGCCTCACAGTAAGAAGGTCAAAGGTTTTAATCTGTTGGCTGAGGATAAGTAGTCAGCTGTCACAAATAAGTCATTTGGACATCTGACTTAAAAATAACAAGAAAAATAAATTGAATGTGCAGCAGTTGAAGGTTACATGCAGCATAGAGTCAGATAAACATATATTGTAAGCTAGTAGCATGATTATATATTTAATTCTTCTTCTCCTTTTTTTTTAAAACCTTTTTCTGTTGTTGTATTGGATCAGTACTATAAGTTAGTTTGACTGCTTTCAGCAAACACCACATGTGTAAAAGGAAATGATATGTATGCCCTTTCTAATCCCTGAGCTGTGTCATGATTTAAATATTTTATATATATATGATAAAAAGCATTTTGAATGTTTTTGGTTTTGTTTTTTCTTTTGGTTTAGTTTTTTTTTTAGAGTGTACTTCCACAAACAGCAGCAGCCACAATCTAACAAGTGCCAACTGTTTTTTCACAGACACAAGATGGAGCAAGAGGACAAGCAGAAAAGAGAAAATGCTGTGGCACTGCTTACTCTGGGGGGGAAGAGAGTTCTGCCATATTTAGTGGAGTTTCTATTAGCTATAGCTCATCAAGTGTTGACAAAAGGAATTTGCCTTGAGATGGAAGAACACACACACAGTAATAATAATAATTAAGAATATAAATGTGTAGCCTACATAAACATTATATTTGGGAGAGTAGGGCTCAGAGAGCCTTATTATGTGGGAATCCTTTCCCTTGGTCTGGTCTCCTATTACACTGTCCTCTTACCTGAATTCATTGAAGGGCTGAAGAATTAACAATCTCGCCAAACCTTTGACTGTGGAGCACATTATTTTTTAACTATTTTAATAATAAATCAAAAACCTTTAGCGCTAATTTTTTTTTCAAAAGCCTCATATTTACTTTCAGCTACAAGAAAGTTAACCTCGGACAAATCCTTGATGAGGCAAGAAATTATATATGAGGCTGTACTGTATACCGTTCAATTGATGCGACTGACACATGTGCACATGTTCGAAGGAAGAGAATTATATCTACATTTTACGTGAGAGGACGCACAAAAAAAAGAAAGAAAAAATAAAAACGAATGCATGACGTTCAGGAACGGGCGGACTATAAAAGTTAACGCTTTCGTTCACGATCCCTCCCCAGCCCCCCTTTCTCAAAGCCGTGATGACGTAGGTGCAGGTCGAGCTCCTGTATGGAAGAGAGCTCCCTGTTTCTACAGATTCTACGCTATTTCCGCAACTGTGCCGTCGTTGAGTCGATATACGTTGCATGTTAACAGTCTATCCCCGCGTCTCTCGATCTCTACGCCCCACCCAGTGACTGTGAAGAGTTACTTTTCTCTCCTATTTATTTTTTATATTTTTCCCGTCACATGGGCATTTAGGGTTCAATGTGAGCTGTCGACTCCACACGGGCTCTTCCTTTTTATCAATATGGACGTTTAACAGAGTGGAAACGCAGAGGGACTCCGCATCTTTCTCTCTCCATCTCCTCCTCTGCTGTGAAGCTTCGCAAGATCATGCAACACCTTAAACCATGGCAAGCTCTGCTCCTTTTGACGGTGCTGTATCAACCAGGGACCTGTGATAAATACGGTAAGAAAATGATGGAAATGATAGTCGGAGTTTGATGTTAGCAGATGACTTTACCATAGTGTCACCTTTACCGTAGGATACTTTATCCTCTGTTTTTGGTTTTGTAATGAGTTCCTTTCTTTTATTATACTCTTCTTATCGTTCAACAACGGACTGAGAGATGGACTGTGTGTCTAAATACAGAGGATGTTTAATGAGATTAAACACGGGCAGAGGAGAGATGGAGGATGTGGGGAGTAACAGGGAAAACAAAACCGAGTCTTAGCAATGAGTAGTTTTTTGTTTTGTTTTTTGTTTTTTTTGTTTTTTTTGTTTTTTTTGGCTTGTGACGCATTAAGGGATCATTTTAGGGTACTATTACACATACAATACCACTCTGACGCTCCTTGTTGGGCTCAGTTTTTATTTGTTTGTTTTTTTTTTATTTACAGGCTTCCAAGAGAGACAAGAGAGTAGGGAGCCGCCAAATCCACTTGTTAATGAATAACGCCCACACTAGTGTGTGTAGGCTCTACAAACATGATGAAAAGTAAACAGCAGGGGTATATACATGTACATCACTAAACTAACTAAAGCTGTACTTAATAATATGACCAAAAAACCCCACCTAATTCAAGCTCAATAAATATTTTGATTACTGGGCTGAAACGTGAAACCAATTAAACATTCCCACTCAGTAGAAATGATCGTGACATTAGTAATAGTCCCTGTCATTTCTATAACAATGCTGGGAATACAGGTTCAGCTTTATTATTTCAAACTGACGGCAGCTGGGTTGGGTTATGAGCTTAGTTCTTTTAGTAGATTGATGCATTGTGTGTGTAACATGAGCAGGTTGAGATTTGTGATGCACGCAGTGAATTCAGGGAGTAATTCAGAATTAAGCTGAAAAAAACAACTGTTTTCTCTCCCTCTCTCTCTCTCTCTCTCTCTCTCTCTCTCTCTCTCTCTCTCTCTTCCTCTTCATCTTTCTGGTGTGGGCTTCTTTGGCAACAAACACAAGAGCAACCCAGAAACAGTTTGTGACAATTTAATGATAAACATGATGGCAGGACAGAGCTACTTACCTAAAAAAGCTCTATAAAATAAAATGTAAAAAATCAACACAAAATGTTGGTGTGTTAGTTCTTGCTTTTGAAAATATCATTAAAAAGAATAATATGAATTGTAAAACCCATAGAATAATAAGAAAGCGCATAAACTAAAAGAACAAGGAGAAGCCGTGCAGCTCAAATTTCAGCACCATGGAGAGAAACCAGTAACCACTGTTGCTTCCCTTTGTCCATTCATCCGATAGCACCTCTTCTTTCCTCCCATCTCTCTTCTTTCACACTTTCATTTGATGAACAATCCATCCATATGTCTGACTGTCCATCCTCTCACAGACCATATGATGCTCAGTGTCTGAGGCGCTCCGCTCAGTTT